CCAGGAAAGTTCTGGATAAAAGTAACAAACCTGACGGGAGCCTCAACTGAGGAAGCGCTGTACATCAAGACGCCTTGGGAAATAAATTTTGTCCCACCACAGGAAGAAAAAATTACAAATCTAGTCGATAACAGCAACGTTACTTCCAACACAAACAATAGACCTCAACATTTGCAATGAGTGTCACTTTATGAAACACAGCCATCGCAGAGGTCCAGAAAAAATTAAATCTTTCAAGGAGAAGGCGCCAAGCATTAGCAAAGTAAACAAAATGGTATTAAATGACATCCCATGCAATGACTGCAACCCATAAATATACTCGAATATTTATTGCAGCTCTTACATCCCGAGTGTTGCCCACATACTCCAAAAATGCCACTATCACAGTACTCTCTAAGCCGGGGAAGACCATCAATTCAAACCGACAATTAAAGACAATTACTCTTTTCAAGGTATCAAGCAAAGTATTAGAAAAATATCAGACCCTTGTGAAGTATATGGAAGAGGAGGAAAGGATAATACCAGGCAACGTGGGTTTAGAAACTACAGAGAGGCCTATACAGCTGTACCCCTGATCTATGACCGTACAGCCAGTCCCATGACAGAAGTGGCAGACTTCCGTCACTCTATTTATTTTGCACTGTAATAGTGCTCAGAGATGTATCGAAAGCTTTCGACAAAGTCTCTCATGCAGGTCTAAAATACAAGATATCTGAACTTAGGGCTTCAGAAGTGACACAGTAAGAGTGGAAACATAGAGGTGGGCTAGGGCTATTTCCATTTTAGTATATATATCAACGACATGTTAGATCTCTATATAGTTTACAGACGATGCATAACCAATAAGAAGAATCATAACAGAGCTATGGCGTCTTCCCCAGCAAAATGATCTTGGCATTACAGAGATGGTCCTTAAACTGGCTGCTAGAATATGTCTCTGCCGAATGCAGAGCTGTGAGGGAAGGAGCAGAATTGAGAAGAAATAGTCAAACCCACACATAGGAAATTATATAATAATGACGTTTAGGTCCATTCTGTACCCTATCAAGTGGAAACTGAGAAGACTTGAATGACAATATGAATGAGAAAGACCTGGGAATAGTCAACCTCAAAAGGTAATGTCAGAACCCCCTTTCAGCAAACTGTCATCATCAGCATTTTCCAGCCTGTCTATTATCCGTGTAACCTTCAGAAACATGATCAAAGACGACTATACAAATATGCATTTCTCAAGTTGATAGAAGAACGAAGTGACATCAATCTAAACTAGACGAAAACAAATGAGTCACAACAATTTCCCCCCCAAAAAAGAATCTTTACAGGATTTTTCAGTGATTGAGTTATCAATAAGTGTAATAGGTTAGAGGATCTAACTCAGCATACAACTTTATAAATAAGAAAACATAGAAACAGAGTCATTACATTAAACAAAGAGTCATCGGAAGGTGGAGCCAGGAGCCAAGCTCTTTCCTGCAAACTGTTTTCATTAAATGCTCTGTTCAAAACATTTTCGAAACACTCTTTCCAATTTCTTCTTTAATCTTGGCTGTGCAGCCACTGTTGGCCAAGGGAGCCGAGGCCTGGGACAGTGCTGGAGACGAGATAAAGATATTTATATTGTCGTGTAATTTTCTTCATTCAACAGATCACTGTTGACCTTATGATCTAGCAATGCTTCCTGCGAGATACTCGAACTTATAATGCGAGTTATTAATATAATCAGTATTGCACTCTATATAAACTTTCTGTTAAAAATATGCCTGTAGTGCATCACCAAAACGTGCTCTACACACGAATATATTCACGTATATATGTAAGAGTTATTTACGCATAAACCGGACAAGATATGTCAGTACTGGGATCGGAGCTAATGTTGCGTGGGATATTGTTTGTCAGATGCAGAAATAGGTTATCGATTACTAGATATCTTAGCTCGAGAACATCAACCTCATCTGGTCCGCTCAAGACATACACATATACATGAATTGGTGTATAAAATACAGATATATGTTTATTAGCAGTGAACATGTGAGAAAAATATTAAATACATACCTTAAATAGCAGACCAGATCATAATTGAAGGCACCCACCTTCACAGCCACCACCAGAAACAGCCAATGATAAATCACTACTATAAATCACTATTAGTAAACCAAGTATACATAAGCCGTCCATCATGCACGAATCACCACTATACGTTCATCACCAGCACAAGTAAACTTTCAGTATCTGTGTATCATACACAACGAGCAATATCTGAAGAAGGGTTGGTGAGGAAGGGTTGGTGAGGAAGGGTTGGTGAGGAAGGGTTGAAATACATCCAGCCAGCGGTTAGCTCTGTGAGGCGCGGCACTTTACTGCGGGACGCACGCCCCTAATCATACAGTATGCATTACATTAATAATACAGAAGTTACATCAATAATATAGGGTTTTATCACTAATCATTTTGCAGGCACTGTATAAATCCAGCCCGTCCTCAAAAGGTTTCCCAACATCAAGAAACTGTCGCACTAAAATACCCCTTATCCTAACCTACTAAAGGACCCAAAATAGAAAACGGGACAGTATGTCAATTTCGCGAGCCGTTACTATTTTCTAGTTCGACAATTTTTGGCCTTAGGTAGAGTATACGTCAAAATGTGACGTTCTATTAGGAGAACTGGTTGATAAATCATACAGGGTTTAGGTACAAATACAGAAGATACGTCACAAGTCATCCAGGAGGCAGAGCAGGGGTCACACATGATAGCACTGGAGGTATACAACCACCACATAAACACACCACTCAAGGGATTTACACAGCTTATCAACACTACTCAACACGGTCCCGTGTAAACCTTTGGTGTGTACAAAGTATTACGCAATGTAGCCTAACACTAGAGATACGTTAATAAGCTGCCGTGTTCATACTACACATGCTAGTGTGTTCTCACCTAAGTACGATTGTTGGGGTTGGGATTTAGCTTTTGAGTCCGTCTTGCGGCATTCACTCGACTACTGTACTAGTTCCTGAATACTTTGGATCTGAATACTCTGTCATATCTACTTTAGAATCCGTGTACGGTATCTGTCGCTACTTCAGTCAATTCCACTTCTTTACTACGTGATACTGTAGAGGTTTTATCATACATTCCTGTAGTTAATTCGCTCATGCCTCATCCACATCAAATTGCCAATCCTTGGCAACATTGCTGACTCTCCTAAATATTTTGTAAACAGAGCTCATTTTGACATCACTTCTCTCTGGTGACATGAGGTTAGTTGTACTATACTATTATCATAACCCATTCATTTCAGTCTTAGAACATATCTGTTAGCATAAATGTAGACTTTATCCAGCTCGTTTTGTGTTTGATGAGTTAGTTGCTGCCTTTTTCAGAGTCGGGTTGACATGTGTAGAAATCAATGTTGTGAATGATTCCTTCATTCAAAGGAGTCAAAGTTTCTCAAGATACTTGGGCAGCCTTGACTATGGCGGTGACGTTACCTGGTCAATGTGTTTCTCAGGAAGAAGTATGGGTAAGATGGCTGCCACTTGCTTATTTTCCCTGATATATTAAAAGAATGTACAAGTTTCCTCTTTTTCATATATTTTTTCGCTGTCCACTTTGCAATCAGGTCCCTAAAGTGCGCGTGTGTGTGTGTGTGTGTGTGTGTGTGTGTGTGTGTGTGTACTACAAAAATGATAAAAAAAAATAATTTTTTCTCGTCTTTCTCTTCTCCTCCATATCTTCTAGCTCCATCCTCCTTGTTTCATATTTCTTTAATTTTAAATGATCTTTCCCGCTTGCAATTATTCCTGCTCCTCCTTTCCCCGATCTATCATGCACGCCCTACACTGTGACACTTCTCTCACCTGAAGACGAGCCTGGATACAACAATGAACGGTAACTAGCGAGCGAACTTAAAATAAACGTTTTATTTTAATCTTACTAATGTATGACTTCACTTGTTAGTCATAAGGTCTTTGCCAGCCACTCTCACAACTGCACGAGTGTTCGCTAGGGCCACACCCCCGGCTCTCTCACTACAGTATTAACGTGTTCGGCTCCCCACAACCAGACTCCTGCTTCACGTTACTGTTCCCAAAATGGGCGCTTGGAGGCAGGTGGTGTAAAGGGCGTTTGATGTGACTTATACGCCGAGTGGTGTTCGATTCTAGTTATTATGGTCCCACCACCTTGCTCTGGCTCTTTTAAACACGTTTGGAGGATATTGAAAAGGAGTTCAATATCCTCCATGATGTTATTTTTACAATAATAGTCATAATATATAACTTTATTATACTCACGGAAGCACATTTCGACGGATAAAAATAATATTCAATGTAGTTCTTCTTTTAATGATATTACCATATAGAAACCTTCGCTGTTTACATGAAAGAATATAAAAGTCGATCAACACTTGCTATAATTCGAAAGTTTCTTGTTGGATTTCAACACGACACTGGAAAACTTTGATCAAATACCTACATGTGAAGGACTCGTCTAAGTATCAAGAGCGAGCTTACTCGGAGGCCCCATGCAACCTTTCACTACATCAAGAGACAATGGTCTCTTAACGCCACATCTACTGGCCTAACCATTATCCACTATGTAACGTAGTTTGGTTAGGCTATATTTTAACAATATAACATAACCAATAAATATATTTTTAAATTATGAGATTTTAGGAACTTTTCTAGTCCCAAGAATAGGGAATAGAAGAAATTCTAGTCGATAGTACTTCTGTCTGCTAGAATTTCACAGTACTAGTACAAATTCTTTTGAAATTTGTACACTAGAATTTATGCTGAAAAATTATGATACTGATACATAATAATACATATCATGCATACTAACCAATGATACATACTGACCCGTGACATATTCCGAACTGTAATAAAAGCTAACACCTGCTATATAATGATATGTGTTATATATTAATACGTACAACATACTGAAACATGATGCATACTGATTAATAATGCATACTGACATGTGCTCCATACTGGGCACCATGGTGGCCAGGTACCTCCTCGAGGACTGTGACCCCATGGTGGCCAGGTACCTCCTCCAGGACTGTGACCCCATGGTGGCCATGTAACTTCTCAAGGAATGTGACCCTCCGGTGGCCCTTATAGACAATACTTGTGTTCATCCCGAAGACACTTGAGTGTTCTTTTCAAGAAGGCTGGAGGAGGTAATGTAACTTCTGGCAAAAGAGGAACTGAATGAACGAGAAGAATAACAAGAGCGTTAGTGTGATGTTGAATGTATGAGTCTCGTCTTTTTTGTTCAGATGAATAAGTTGTGTTTTTGTCGTAGCTGCAGGAAGAGCTATTTGGGCCTTCATGAAAATTTGAGAATAATGCGTAATGTCAGCGACTATAGTGATGAATGAAGATAGTGAGTGAGAGAGTGAACATGATAGTGCAACTTGTAAGTATATCCATATTTTCTGGAAAGGCATAAGTACTCTTTCCATTGATTCTCACTGTCTTTTTGTTTGTCTTTTTTACTCTGTCTGATCTCCCACACCCTCTTTTTCTCCCTCTCCCTTCACTCTCTCTCTCTCTCTCTTTCTTTCATTCTCTCTCTCGCTCAATTCACTTCTTTACTTTACGTAATAAAGAAAATGTTAAAATATCGTCTCTGAAAATTATTTTCAAACTGCAAAATAAATAGCTAATTGGAGGGTGGAGGAGTTGGGTTCTGAGGGTGGAGGAGCTGTGCTCACCTAATTGCTCACTTAGTTGTGCTTGCGGGGCTTGAGCTCTGGCTCTTTGGTGTCGCTCTGGCTCTGTGTTCTGAGGGTGGAGGAGCTCTGTTCTGAGGGTGGAGGAGATGTGTACTTTAATGTTTGAGTTGGAGAACGTGTCTGAGGTCATTCCGGGCTTGAACGGATGGGTAGATTTGGACAATTGTTTGACAACTCCTCTAATATAAATGTATGTTACAGTAAAGCCAGTTGACACGACTGTTACAGTAAAGCCAGTTGACACGACTGTTACAGTTAAGCCAGTAGACACGACTATTACAGTAAGGCCAGTAGCCTCGACTGTTACAGTAAGGCCAGTGGTCGTCATGTGACCTGAGAGGGACACTCATAGATGCCTTTCTCTGTGGGAACTCGTTTAGATTCGCAACAGTTTTTCTCCTCTCTGTTGATTTATTCTCTCTCTTGTCTCTTTCTCTCTCTCCCTTTTCTTATGACCCTCTTCCTTCTCGTATTGTGTATGTGTTTGAGAAATATTTACACTTTAATATATGACACAGGGAGCCGGTCGGCCGAGCGGACAGCACACTGGACTTGTGATCCTGTGGTCCTGGGTTCGATCCCAGGCGCCGGCGAGAAACAATGGGCAGAGTTTCTTTCACCCTATGCCCCTGTTACCTAGCAGTAAAATAGGTACCTGGGTGTTAGTCAGCTGTCACGGGCTGCTTCCTGGGGGTGGAGGCCTGGTCGAGGACCGGGCCGCGGGGACACTAAAGCCCCGAAATCATCTCAAGATAACCAAGATAACTTACCGGAGCGAGGGAAGGAGCAGGTATTGTGTTACATAAAGACCAGCCGCGATAACTCTTATCGCTAAAGAGTCGCTCCAAAACCAACAATGAGATTTATGTTCTGGAAACAACGAACTGGGATTAACTGAGCTGGGTTTAGAGAAGGAACACAGTGTGCTAGTGGGAAGGTGGAGCCTGCTGGTATGGATAACATCGCTTTCGGCCTCACTGCTTCAATGAGACCGACAATATGTGACAAAATACAAATATATAATATATATATATATATATATATATATATATGTATATATATATATATATATATATATATATATATATATATATATATATATATATATATATGTCGTACCTAGTAGCCAGAACGCACTTCTCAGCCTACTACACAAGGGCCGATTTGCCTAATAAGCCAAGTTTTCCTGAATTAATATATTTTCTCTAATTTTTTTCTTATGAAATGATAAAGCTACCCATTTCATTATGTATGAGGTCAATTTTTTTTTATTGGAGTTAAAATTAACATAAATATATGACCGAACCTAACCAACCCTACCTAACCTAACCTAACCTATCTTTATAGGTTAGATTAGGTTAGGTAGCCGAAAAAGTTAGGTTAGGTTAGGTTAGGTAGGTTAGGTAGTCGAAAAAACATTAATTCATGAAAACTTGGCTTATTAGGCAAATCGGGCCTTGCATAGTAGGCTGAGAAGTGCGTTCTGGCTACTAGGTACGACATATATATATATATATATATATATATATATATCCTAAATAGAAATTTTAATATTTTGAGGGTCACTCCAGAAAAAAGATATAAATCTTCAGATGCATTTAAAGCATATGCTTCGGAGAATATACTCTTTCATCAGTGCTAAACCAAAACAACATAATTACTATTAGCTAAAAATTATCAATAAAAGTTCAAAAATGTATATAAATCAATATCCATTGAAAACCCTTATGCGAAAAACCTAAATAGAATTATATACAAAGTAACAAAAGCAAAAATTATATAAAAATAGAAAACAAAACACGAAAAAGACCTAACAGCATGCTTTGAGAAGACTACAATTAGCGTGTAGATAGTTGAGGTGAGGACTCGCAGTTGATCAACTCACGTCTCATTTTTCTATCGAGATAGATTTCAAGATGTTGAGATCAAATCGAAAAGAATTGGATGTCTGAATAGCGAAATCGTTGTGGTAAGGAGGCCCATTTCCTCACAGGGATCTAACGGCAGAGGGATCTAACGGCAGAGGACGCAGCATGTTTAGGAGGCAAACCTGCTGGGAAACAGATACCCATGTACTCACAGATACCATTGTGCTCACAGATACCCATGTGCCCACAGATACCATTGTGCTCACAGATACCATTGGGCTCACAGATACCCATGTGCTCACAGATACGGTGTTAGAAGTTTCACGAATTATTCCCCAAGTCGACAGTTACAGTTCGAACATTCAAAAAGATAAACAACACCAGATCTAACATCAAAGGATGACGGAACTCTGTTCTAAATAGATCCCAACACTATGATTATTGATCTCAGATATGCTGTTGTTTACATCGTTTAATGTTCGAACTGCAACGTTCGATATCTGGGATATATCTCGCGAGGCCTTAAACAACGTATCAGGTTGTTTTTACAATATACCTCTACCTTCATTTTTGGGACGGTGATATGTATATAATAATGATATCAATACGTGTTCTCCAGCCCCCATACTGCGTTACTGAAACATTTACATCACATAATTGTTTCCGTTAGACATTTGCATAACCCTGGAGCCGAGGTCAGTACAAACTGATATTTTGGGTACCAAATTATCATAATATATTCTCCTCCAGCTGGCAAAATTTCGGAAATAAAGATTAATGTTATTTTCATTCACTCAAATAATATAATTCATATTGCTATTTTAATCTAGGCTTTTTAGTTTAATGAAAAGCTGAATGACGTAGAATGTATTGGAGCGTTAGAAGCATTAGGAGCTAGTGACGAGTAGTGAATGTCAGTCAGATTTCCATAACGATGAGTAAAGTAATGTACTCATGCAATTTAATAAAGCGTAATGAAGTGTAATGTGATTCCATGTAATATACTTTAATGTTTAATAAGGGCGTAATGCATTGTAAATATCACATCTTTATGTAATCAGCGATAATGAAGTGCAAAGTATTGGGACGCAGAGTAATGTAATGAGATATCAAGCAAGGATTGGCGTAATGTTTACCTCTGGCAAATTAACTTTGCAATTCCGTATACCAATTTGCGTAAGTACCGCTTCTCATTCTCCCCACCTAAGCTTCTGCACTCTCTCCCTCCCCTTCTGTACCCTATTCCATCCATCCCTCCCATCCACTTTTACCCCCCCCCACCACTACTACCTTCCATCCCTTCTTTGCCACTCATCTCTTCCCATCTGCCTATCCACAACATTCCTTTGCCATTCCTTTCTCCCCACTCCCATTCGCTCATGGCTGCTGTGAGGATCATTCAATTAAATTAAATGAGGATAATTTTGATAGGCTGCTAAGGTTGTCAAGCAAATGTTTGTGTTTGTGTGTATTCACTTAGTTGTATTCACCTGGTTGTGCTTGCGGGGGTTGAGCTCTGCTTTTTCAGCCCGCCTCTCAACTGTCAACCAATACACTGTTACTATCTACTAACTATTTTTTGTATTTGTTTTTCACACACACACACACACACACACACACACACACACACACACACACACACACACACACACACACACACACACACACACACACACACGCACACACACACACACAGGTGCAGCCCGCAACAGCTGCCTAACTCCCAGGTACCTATTTACTACTTGGTAACAGGGCATCAGGGTGAAAGAAACTCTGCCCCTCTGTTTCCGCCGGCGAACCCGGACCCTGGGATTACGAGTCCCAAGCTCTGTCCATTCAGTCATGGCCCCCACTGTGTGTGTGTGTGTGTGTGTGTGTGTGTGTGTGTGTGTGTGTGTGTGTGTGTGTGTGTGTGTGTGTGTATGTGTATGTGTGTGTTTGTATGTATACGAATACTGAGTAATTCTTGATTGCAATAAATTTTTCAGACCAGTTCTAAAGCCCCGACCAACCTTTTCAATAACCAAAATAACATCCATACCGGAGGTCAAACTGATTTTTCCTAAGTAAAGAACAGTTTGTTTTTTGTTTTATTTCGATCTCTGCACTCAATCACCGTGTCTCATCCTGCTTTAAGTGAGGCTGCAGAGCAACATCCGCTTGGATTGCACCAATTGAGGAGCAGCTTTTCATTTGGTGTCACGATGCCTGGGGCGTCCGCTCCCACCCAGTCTCTATCCTGTATCACGTATCACATCATCCATAACATAGGCGGTCAGCCGCGGAGAGCTGGACCACACACACACACACACACACACACACACACACACACACCTTTATTGCCACCCAAGCCACCGCTCCATGGGTGCCTCTCACACCACCACCACCCCCACCACCCTCCACCTCCACCAACACTCTCCTCCACTGCCACCACCACCGCCACTTTTCACCACCAGAGCAAAATAATTAAACAG